CACAAAAATCACCATCAAGTCAAGGCAATATAGGATTTACAAAATAGGAATCGTTTTTAAAACAATGAATGAAAAATATTTTCTGTTACATTGGGGAGAAAACCAATTCTCCATTAATTGGAGGAGTAAAACAAAAGGTGCAATAAACCAAATTGTTCTTCTTCTCCACCTCCGGCTGTTAGCGAAGCCCGTGAAACTGCAAAAGCCAACCCATCAATGAAATTCCGAACCCAAATCCCCAAAACCCAACTCAAAGCTGCTAATTCATTTATTTTTTGGAACTCCAATACAAGTCCACTCGTCAAGTCTCATTTCCCCAGCAAAATCCACTATTGGTGTCGGAGTAAAAATATTGACAAGGGCTATGCAACAGGAGGGGATGAGTAAGAATGTAAAGAGGTCGAAGAAAAAGTTTGAATTGTAAGCCAAAAGATCAAAGTGAAAATGTTGTTTCCCAAATGATGATTTAAGGAAGCTGTTTCCCAAACTTTGATGCAATGATGATGAAGAGGTAGCTATCGACAAGGGAATGTTTAGAAAACAGCTAATCTATTTGCTAATTTGAATACTTTTCTTGAGTTTATCAAGAAAATTTTATATGCCAATAAGTCTTAATTGTGGGGCTAAAATTACAAGACATATGATGATGTACAAAAACAATGTTGATGAAGGTTTTTTTTTTAAGACATATTGTCTTTGGAAGTTTGGCAAGAATAAGAATCAGTATGCAACTGCTCATTCAAGAAGATGAAATGTTTTCAACTTTACTCCCTAGCATTTTCTAATTTTTTGTTTTGATCTTTAATGTGTAATTCCTATATTGCCCTTAATTTGGTGGTGATTTTTGTGTCAAAAAGTAGTATCACCACGAAAGGATGAAATTGGCCAGTAAATTTAAGTTGAAGGACTACAAACATCTAAATAAAAAATCGAAGGATGAAATTGGTTTAAGGGTTAAATTGACCATTTTTCCTTCTCAAAATCTGAGCTCGATTCAATAACTATTTTAACTTGCTTAAGTTTGAGTTCATACTCGAACGTATTTGTTTTAGATGCAAAAATTACAAATCATATTGGTCATCTAGTGGTGAAAGTTTGACTGATCAAGTTCCATAAATAATTTACTGAGTGCGAATTACGAACAAGTATGGTAGAAAGGGCCGGCATTTAATGGAAGCTGTTACTTTCGGTTTTGGTAGGTTATCTAACGTTTGGCAGTCCTTAACCATTTTCCTGATCCAAACAACAAATGGATCCCACACGGCCCATATGGCTAATTCTCTCTCTTTCTTTTCCTGACCCGGCCTTAAATGAGTTCTGAACATCAACCTGACTGAACCCAGAAGGCGCAGGCCACTCTCTTTTTTATTTTCTCTTGAATCCAGAGCCGAATGACCGAAACCCCTGCTTGTAGGCCCGCACTCGCATTATCCATCATCCCCCCCCCTTCATTTAATGCAACAATTAATGTAGGAGTACTAGATAGAGTTTGTGCATCTTAAATGCTTTTCTTCTTGATTCTTTAATGTTTTTCTTCTTAATTTTTTTTGAAATTAATTTCGTACTACACCTACATATTTTCCTTGAGAAAAAAAACTACTCCCTCCGTCCTATTTTGTTAGTCTTGATTTTTTTTTCACACAGATTAAAAAAGTGTAATTAATTTGGTTGGAAACATAAATTTAGATTAATAATTTCCTAAAATACCCTTATGCTAATCACGAAGAGTGCCAATTAATAATATCAGTTACAGCTAATGGATTAGTATTGGAAAAGCTCAATGTATTCAATGTAGTGGGTTAGTATTTAATAACAATGTATTAATAATAAGATATTTAATAAGGGTATTTTAGACAATTTGAAAGATTACTACATTTCTTAATGGGAAAGTGGATTACAATTTGGGGCAGACAAAAAAGGAAAACAAGACTATCAAAATGGGACGGAGGGAGTATAACTTACTAGTTAAAGTGCTCTCTCTCTCTCTTTCTCTCTTTGGCATATTGGATCACCAAAATATTTGGGTATTGCTAGAAATTTGGTTCTTTTTTAAATCCTTTTTTATATTAGTGAGAGATTTTGAAATCAGAACTTGTTACTTATGATCCCTTCTCCCACCAAAAATCTGTGGCTATGTTTGGATTGATCATTTTTTGAAAAATAAGTTTTTCATATATAATGTTACAGTAATATACAAATAAAAATGACCTCAAAAATACCAAAAAAAAAGGCAATTTCAAAAACACAAAAAATAACTTTAAAAACACCAAAAACATAAAAAATAACCTCAAAAAATACCAAAAATGCAAAAAATCTAAAAAATAAAAATTTTTATATATATTATTACAGTAAAATATTTCAAAAATATTCTAAAAAACAGCTAATTTAAACGGAGCTGTGTTTTATTTGACATGACAACCATGCACAATTAGGCAAAATATAGGCCCACAATGCGTCAAATTGACCTGTGATTGAGTCCTCAATTATATGTTGTGTAACATGAGAAATGGGAAAGCAGGTGGTAAAGAGTCAATAATGGGGGGATGGGTATGTAAATATTTCATTATTAGCATTCCGTTCACTCAGTGTTCAGATGTTGGTCCCGTACAAGACAGCCACCTCCCATGGCATACCCCCGCACCTACGCTACCACACGAGTGCCGTCCTTTGCCAGTGGCGACTCCTCAGTCCTCCCCCTCCACAGTCCCCTTCAACCACCCCTCATGCGTGTATATATATATATATATATATATAGGTTTTATGTATTCAAGTATCCACCACATACAACTTCACCATGAAGGAGCCTTTTCAGTATATAGCTCATTTTGGCGAAAGAAAGTGCTAAATTCTATTTTGACTCTGTTAAATGGGCACCAGTTAGAAGGATCCTTTAGTTTTGTGTCTTCAAGTGTTAGTGGTTTTACCAATGCCCTGCACCCCCTAATAGACTTGTGACATTTCTTGCGCTTTTTTGTTTTTTGCTTTTAACATCTAAAATTTACCACATTCAATTATTCCTCGTATTCTCACCTATTATCCTATTCTCTTTCAATTTCTTGTTCCCCTTAATGAAATGAAGATGGAAGGCTCAGAGACACTAGACAATAGTTGTGCAGGCGCAAGGACAGTCCTATGCCCGCAGACGCAGAACAATCAATCAATCTTATATTTCTTTTGGGACCCTCTTCACACCTTTTCTTTCTTCATCAGAGGAAATAGACCAAACAAACCCGAGACTTTGCATGCCCTATTGTAGCACAAAAACTAGGAAATCTATTGTGTTCTCTCTAGGTTAGGGCCGCCGTGGACTAGTTGTAAAAAGAAATGCATGTCGCGAATGAATAACGCTAAATCTACATGTATCTATTCTTCTATTTATTATCGATTGGTAAAGTCTACCTGCATTGACTACGCAATAGTAGTAGTCAAAAAAAGAAAATCTTGGTTACTATAGAATAGCTTTTTGGGGATTGAAATGCTACGGCCGAGTGGTTATTATGGACTCCGTTTTTTGAGCTGCGTTGCTTATCTTCTTATTTCTGCAAAATACGTTCAATTATGCAAGCAACCAAAGCACTAGATATCATTTTACTTTTTGGTGTACAGTATATGAGTAACCATTTTTTGATGTTACAAATTTATGACTTTCGTCTATCCTAGTGCACTACTGCATCCTAGGTAAAGTAGGTTAGAAGACAAGAAGAAAGAACCAAAACCCTTGTTGCTTTTCGATCGAAAATGCAATAATTGTCTTCTTTAAATGGTATAAAATACTAACATTAGTCAAGCCACTTCACCAAGTTACCAATATTCATAGTAAAAGGAATGAGTACATATTTAGTTACCACGAATATACTCAGTCAAACAAAAAAAACATTATTAAGAGCTTGTTTCAAAATGTTAGGTTGTGTTTGGATTGCATTTTTCGTCATTTTTCATGGAAAAATTACTGTAGCGATTTGATATATGTGAGAAAAAAAGGTAATAGGAAAATATGATCATGAAAAATGACAATATTTTCCGACGGAAACAAGCAATCCAAACAGAGCCTTAATTTTGGAAAAATTTTGTTTAGTTTTTGAAAAATATTCTTTTTACGCATTTTTCTAATCAACTTTTTACTGAAATATATCAGGTCTCAAAAAAAAAAAGAGTGCAATTTTCTACAAAACCTCCCAAAGGAGTTTATAAACGTGTATATATATATATATATATATATATATATATAAAATACAACATCTCCGATAGGTTAAACAGCGATAGACAACTAAGACAAGTGCATCCTTTCATATGTCCTCTATGAATACCCTTTCATAACTCACAGTTTTTTGTATGAGTGTTTCGATAAATGGACTCTGCGAAGACACTTCAAAAGCCGGCAACTTTTGAAGTGCTCCGCAGCACTTAACTACTAAACCCCCCAAAACCCCCCCAAGCGATGTGGGAACTTAACCCCACAGGGTGCCCCGCTGCTAAGAGATAAAGACCCCCCAGACTCCCCGAGACAGGTTTTTCCCTTTCATAACTCACAGTTTTTTGTATGAGTGTTTCGATAAATGGACTCTGCGAAGACACTTCAAAAGCCGGCAACTTTTGAAGTGCTCCGCAGCACTTAACTACTAAACCCCCCAAAACCCCCCCAAGCGATGTGGGAACTTAACCCCACAGGGATATGTCCTCTATGAATACAATAGACACAATAATATATCTCTCTCTCATCCTTTAATGTAGTCTTGTGTCTTTGACTTGGACCAGAAAAAATCGTGCTGTTTTTCTTCCTTTCTTCTCCGCTGCACGCAACAAGCCAAGATAACCAACAACAACAACAACAACAACCCTGTTCTCAAATTTAGCTATACACAGGCAACTAAGTACTGGCACTTCATACTTCTCCTCCTCCCTCCTTAAACCCCCAAACCACCCCCACCTCCTCCTCCTGCATACTAGACAACATTAACAAGTCCGTCCCTTCCCCCCCTCCCCCCCCAACCCCCACAAAAAAAACCCACCCCCGCCATGGCCGTAATACGCCACCGCCACTGCAACCGTTCGCTGTCATTCGCTACCATCAGTGCATTACTCTTTCTCTTGCTTTCTTCAGTTTCAGCTCTTACTTTCAACCACGCCCGCCAATTCAGTAAGTACCCGCACACACCTTTAAAAAGAGCCCGGTTCTTGGAGCTGAATTTTGGTTAACTCGGTTGGTTTGTCTGTGTAGGTGGTGGTGCAATGACGGAGGAGATAAGAGCAGAGGTGAAAAGGGCAGGTGGGATGGAGTTAATAAAGCGAGTTTTGTATCGAAGAAGACTGACTGGACCGGGATCATCGCCGCCTACATGTAGATCCAAGTGTGGAAGCTGTGCACCGTGTAAACCGGTTCATGTTCCGATTCAACCGGGTTTGAGTCGACCACTAGAGTACTACCCGGAAGCTTGGCGGTGCAAATGTGGGAACAAGCTCTTCCTGCCTTAGGACAAGCAATTTTTTTTTTAAATTTTAACTTAATTACTTATATAATTTGGCATTTACTACTTTGATAGTGTATATTAAGGCAGTAAAAGTGCAAAACATTAGTTGTAGAACAAACGTTGTTCAGAGATCATCATATAATTTTTAGTAACTATTTTGGTCTTTTGTACATATTTTATTCTTTTTCTCTTGTGGGGTTTGGAAATACTTATAATTGTTTTAAGTATTAAGGCTATCTGCATATTAGTCAGCAATACTCTCTGTTTTAAACATTTTCGGCTACTGTCTAGTACACATTTTTATTTGTGGCTTTTTGTAGTGTTTAATACACCTGGGAGTTAGGAATACACGCTACAGTATTAATTTTTCTCTCTTTTCTTGTCTGGACTCTGGAGGAGACACTGGGAACTTTGGGAATGTGTAATTTCTGTTGAGACTCTCGAGAGGATCTCTCTCTTTCTCTGGTCCGTAGCCTTTCTTTTCTTCAACTCACTATGGGTTTTTTCTTTTTCCTTTTGTATTTTGAGTTTCTAAGGTGGGCAGTGTGTCTTTCATTAATGGTACATATGTTAATGAACATGGGACATATTGGATGTAAAAGGTTTTAATTAGGAATAGTTTTAGAGACATTCCCTCAGTTTGACGGTTCCATTGCCATCCTCGAAAGTTTGAAAATATCACTAACCTCCCTCGAAATTTATACCCTTGTAATAATTTACCCAATTCAAGAAAAAAGCAATAACACAAAAAATGATTTTAGGTGTAAGAAGATTACTTGATTCTAAAAGTGGCCATCTCCTATAATAATAGTTAATTTAATTATTTGATCTACTTGTGTTTGGATTGCATTTTTCATGATTTTTCATGAAAAAAATACTGTAGCGATTTGATGTATGTGAGGGAAAAAGATAATTGCGAAATGTGATCACGGAAAATAACATAATTTTTTGACGGAAAACTGCAATCCAAACAACGTAATTACAGGATTGCTGTTACACATTATTAACAAAAACTTTCATCATTTGCAACCAAAAAGTAATACCTTTCAAATTTTAGCAAAACAAATTTTAAAGTTTCTTTTTCTTTCCTTAAGACTCTTGTTATCACCATGCTAATAAGAAGAAACAATGGATTTGGAATCTCCACATGTCCAATTCCTTTTAATTGTCAAGTATATAAAAAAGTTAGCCTAGTGTCGGAGCCTTTTTCTGATGTCTAACATAATCAAATCATGGTTAATTTATTTAGTTTGTTAACGGCTCAGTTATTTTTCATGTTAGAATCCTTTTATTTATTTATCAGATACATCATATATGATTCTTTTTATCTGTCAAACACATTAATAGAAAACGTGCACATAGTATTAGTTTCCTTTTTATATAGCAAACTAGTTGTTTTTTAAAATTCCAAATTATGGTTAATTTAACTAGCAAACATTTTGATTGTTTCTCTCCACGTATGTGTGTAAGACTAGTATAGTCATTTCACCACTAAGCATTGGAAACCAAATTGATGACAAAAGACGTAAGTAATATTTTCAAAACCTCAAGAAAAACTAGTGAAATTGTCAAAAACCTCAACACAGCTTTCTAAAATGATCCCTTTTAATTGACATTCATTTTCCTTATTCACTCTTTATTTGATCTCTCAAAATATTGTGAGAAAAACCATTATACATGATACATAAAATAATTTGGTATAATACTATAGCGTTTAACTACTGAAATTATTGTGTATGATACATAGGTGAATTTGGTTTAATGCCAGCATAATGTTTTAGCAGCATAGAATTTTGGATCGTGATGCATTACTGTCTTCAGCAAAACAAACAAAAATGAGGACTTCATTAAATGCATTCTAACAGTGCTGGACTCGAATGGTCGCTTCGGTTTCCTTTTGTTTCGGCTGCCCCAAAATAGGAGGGAGGTAAAAGAAAACCCTTTTCTGGCCAAGGACTTGGAAAGCCATCCTCACTTCCTAGGAGTCCAGATATCCTAAAAGTCACTTCCATTGAGTCCATGTATCATGATAAGTTTCAAGAAATTGTGACTAGAAATGACTTTTAAACACTTCTCTTTAACCTGTATAATGAGCAAGCTTCACATGGTTAAAAACATATATCCTAATGTCAGGGATTAATCCATTTCAAAACTTTCAGAGACATGAAAACATATATAGAGTACAATGGTAGGTCACGGAGTTCATGGTCCTTTCTTATTCGAGTATGGACCCTCCAATATCTCTCATACGAACATGGATTTCATTATGGGACAGTCCCTGTAAATGTTTGTGAATGTGTTCGTTTCACAAAAGCCTTTGGAGAATTCGAGGCTGGCATCCATTCCAATTTCTAAAAATATTCTCATTAAGAGGACTAGTTATTGGGAGTGCCTATGAATAAGAATGTATAGAAGACCTTGCATGGCTTAATTCTCCTTTTCTTTTCTTTTCTTCCTTTATATAGGTTACACAGGATCTTAGCAATTTGAACTAACTGTGTATTTATATCCATTTCATTTTAAGCTTCAAGTCGATTCTTGTTTCTTTTTTTTTGTAGATCTTTACATTTTTCAATACGATATTCTTCTCTTTACTGACGTCCCTTTCTTTCTCTGTGGCAAGATACGGTGCATTCAATTATACACGGCCAGAACGGTGCATGCTTGGATCAGCAGTATTTGTATAATTGTACCTGATTGTTTTACTTTGGTGCTTTTTTTCCACTTCTGTCCCTCTTGCTTCATTAAATTATACAAAAGCATCATCTTGTCAGAATTTCATTGAGGTCGGAAAAGTAATGCTGTGAAAGATTGGAAAAGAAGGTACTCAGTTTACTGCTATCACAAGTCAACTCTGCAGACCGTCTTGGCATCAAATTACCACAATGTCTCCCGTTGAATGTTGAAGAAAACCGCTTTCATTGTAATGGGATGGAAGTAGCATAGTAAAGGTGTAACATTTGGGCTATGGTAATTCTACGTTGTACAGGTTTGGGTTATGGTGATTCTGATTACTTTTTGATTGGTGAAGTGTTGCGAACTATTGTTTAGGAGAGGTTAATAATTAATTTTACAGACTGCGTTTAGATTGAAAGATTCAACGAAAGATTCAAAAACCTTTCAAATCTGTTTTAATTTGTTTGAGGGATTTAATGACAGATTCAAAGTTCTTTCAAATTAGTCTAACTTGTTTGACTTATTTAAAAAGTATTTGGATTTGTAATTAAGAAGGTATTGTAAGGATTTTAAATCCATCATCAGATCCCATAATCCAAACGTAACCTGAATTGCAGTATGGTAAAGTGTGGCACGTTGAAAAAAAAAAATCAACAAATACATTGCAAAAGTGAGACGAATTGTAAGCATTTTTTGGAGTTGTTAAAAATCTTGACGAACAAAAACTTGAAATCCTTTTACTTTGTTGAGCAAGTAGTTTTCATTTGATTATGCTCTCAAATAAAACGCTCAAATGGAACCATCCAATCAATTGCAAGATTCCATGCACAAGAAGTTGTGTCTGAAAAGATCCAAATGACTATTCCCTAAATTTCCCTTCTGCTGTTTATATGCTTGTGAACTGTTGACTCTACCATACAAAAAAGATCCAGAATCCTCTGCGTCCTTAAGAACATGAGAAAAAAGACAGTTTGGAGGGACCATTTTGTTTTCTCACGCACCAACTTGATGGAGGTGCATGGAATTCAACTGCATCCATTTGCAAGATTAGACATAATTTACCACTTCCTGAAGACTTTCAACTACTCACTCCCATTGAGCATGGATGAGCAGAGGAGTATTTTATTATCTGAATGAATGAGATCAGACAAAAATGAGACAGATGATAATGGCAGGAGCAGGTGTGAGGTGAAGGCTGAACCTCAATCTTGTAAGGAAACCTAGAGGTCTAGCCCGGTTTTTTTGCCCATTCCCAGCTCCTACAAGCACAAAAATTTCCCATCAGTCTTTTCAATTTAGCAAATGGGAAGCTTTTGCAAATGCTTAAAAAGAAAAGAAAGATGAATGGCAAAATGATTTGAAGTGATGTATGATTTGACAGCAGTGTTTGGCATTTCCTGTGACTCAAAGGAGTATCTGGACAAGCAACTTGTGCTTTTAACTCAGACTATTTGCCATAACCAACACAGAGATCACTCCCCTCGTGCAACTCTGTCAATTATTCTGCCCCCAACTTTTTCTTTCCTTGACAAAAGCTTCATTATTGGATTGAAGATCAGACAGTACCGTAAATAAAGAATCATTCCATAACGTTGTTCAAAATTGCAAGGGATTTAGATTCCCTTTAATGCGACCATGCATGCATTGTTGTGGGTTTTCCATTTTTCAGGGAGGGAGATAAGCAGTTTAGATGCAGCACGAACAGGGACACTGGCTAAAACAAAGAGACTTGTAATTGTCTCGAGGGACTGATCAACAATGACAATACACAAGAAGACTGAGTGGAGGAACATAGGAAAACATCCAATCCTAACAGATGTAAAGCATAACTGTTGATGTAAACGGTTGTCAAAAGCACTGCATAAAATAAGCGTCTCTGGTAAAGGTCTACTGAATTGCAGGACAAGGACTTGGGGGCAGAATGTTGACTACTCAGCAATCCGAAACAAATTAGTCAAGATTAGCATCAGAATTCACAAGAATTTAGGGATTACGGCTTTGATAAAAAGGTGGAGATGGAGCAAATGTTGTCCCAAGACCACCCTTGAGCTTGAATTCCTAAGTAACTTTGACCATAACCAATGCAACCACGATGCAAGACTTATAAACCAAGAATCAACCGCATAAACATAGAAAATAGTAAGTGGGGATGATTTAGCCTCTTAACCGCAACATATTCTGCACCAGCACCTGCACCTGCACCTGCTGGACAAACTCATCATAAAACGAGTGAATTCAAACAAAAGTTCAATTAAGAATAAAGTCAGGAGATTGTACGGTAAAAGAAGCTGTGATCTTCCATGTTATATGGTTTTTAACTATTTATTCTATTTTAAAACAACTCAATTTCTCCTTTGTTATCTTATCTCTAAAATTTGGGTAGAAATTTCTTATGGAGAAATGATATATTTGCACTCCAAAATAATCTTCCAAAACTCCATACTCCTT